TCGCCGCGCACATAGTTGGCCGTCGCATGGCCGTTCAGCGTCACGCCGTGTGTGAGCTGGTATAACTTCATGTTCTTCTGCACATACTCGCAGAACTCGACGCGGTCGGCTTGGGGGCCGGCGCCCGCAATGATCTTGTGCGAATCGAGCGTTTGCATCTACGCCATCATGAGCCTTCATGGCGGATCGCTGCATGCGCACGCACCTTGTCCTCGTCGTCCTTGTACACGAGGATCGAGCGGGCGACCTTGCAGTCAGCCGCGAGAATGACGAAGTCCTTGCCAACGATGCCGAAGAGCGATTCCATGAGCCTGCGACCACGAAGAAAGCGAATATGCCAAGCCGGATCTCGGCGGCCTCAGATCGCTCCATGGTGTGGGTCTATCAACACAGCACAGGTATGTATTGTGAAAGGTTTTAAATGTACAGATGCAACATAAAGCTCAAGATCATGGTATGCATTCTGGTCTGGTATGCAGTACGACAGGTAATATCAAGTCTAGAGGTTCTCGCCGCAGATATCCAATTCAAGAGGCAACCAAAGATTTGCGGTCAACTTGACAGCATGCGCTTCGCGGCCGCGATCTTTCTCGTCGCGCTCCATGCGATGGCCGTCGCCCATGTCCACGTGCTCACGGAGAAGACCTTTAAGAAGGAGGTCCTCGACAGCCCGGACTACTGGCTCGTCGAGTTTTACGCGCCATGGTACAGGCCGACGTGCTAGTAGTATGTGCATCGTGTGTGATCGCTGGGACCAGGTGTGGCCACTGCAAGCAGCTCGAGCCAGAGTGGAAGAAGGCAGCAAAAACGCTCAAGACAACGGTGCTGACGCGGCGTCCACTGGCGGCTCATGCGCGATCCTGTAGGCCAAGCTCGGTGCTGTCGACTGCACCTCGAACGAGCAACTCGCGCAGCAGTTTGGCATCCAAGGCTACCCGACAATCAAAGGTCGTGTGCATCGCAGCGCTGCTCGGTCCAACATGCATCCGTAGAGTTTGGCAAGAACAAGAACAAGCCCCAGGACTACCGTGGTGGGCGTACCGCGCGTGAGATCGTGCAGTACGTCAAGGCGTCGCCGCTCGCTGCGCTCGGCGTCTCGTCCAGCGACGCGGCGGTCCAGGTCCTGCAATACAAAGACGTCTACTCGTTCTTGGCCACCGCACCACCCAAGACACCCAGTGCGATCCTCTTTGGCCGCAACAAGCGCAAGAAGGGCGAGAAGGCCAAGGTACAGTACACACCCTCTTCTTGCTTCTTGGATCGCCTCACGTCGCCCAGCCGCGCTGGCTCAATGAGGTCGCGCAGTCGTTTGTGTCGCCCGACACCAAATCGATTCTGGTCCGTGGTTCGCCTGCAAACACAGCCGCGCAAACGTCTCGTTGTAGGTGCAATTCGGGTTTGTCGCCGGCAGCGAAGCCAAGATCGTCAAGCACCTAGGCCTCGACGGTACCTCTGCCTGCGTTCGCTCGCTCAAGCAGCGTGCTCGGTAAGAGGCCGACTTGCCCGCCCTCGTGTACATCCACCCAGAGCATGGGTACACGCATGTGGCGCTCAC